ATTCCTTATTCGCCTTCCATTAATCCCATACACTCTCTCGCCATGGCGACGACCAAGACGCTCGAAGCTCGCTTTGAGCATCTATCCATGAAAGATGAGAAGGAGAATGGAAACAGTGATCGAACCTATGGAAAGCAAAAGGTACTTGGCTCAATGCAACCTGGTTAGGGATCCACCTTACTGATTGATTTACCAAGGCGCCGGTCTCTTCAGCCCAGTCAAGCAGCAATTCTAATCGAGCTCAACTACTGAAATTGGCTCTTCAAAATAATAATGAAAACAAGGCGAATGCCATGAACGTTCCAGCCTCGCCAGGCAGGGGATCCCATGGCGCCTTAGTGACACGGAGCACCGATGAAAACGGGGACCAACGCACATCTTCTTCCCTCTGCGAGCAGCCAACTGTCCCCAAGGACTTGCACTTAGGAATGTTTGAAATTGGCAAACCACTGGGCAAGGGCAAGTTTGGGCGAGTTTACCTTGCCAAAGAACGTTCATCCGGCTTCGTGTGTGCATTGAAGGTGCTACACAAGTCTGAGTTACAACAGGGTGGTGTCCAGAAGCAAGTCAGGCGTGAAATCGAGATTCAGAGTAACCTACGTCACCCTAATGTCTTGAGGCTCTATGGCCACTTCCATGACAGCAAACGAATCTTCTTGATCCTCGAGTTTGCTGGCCGCGGTGAACTGTACAAGCACCTTCGCAAGGAGCATCGGTTCCCGGAATGGAAGGCCGCACAATATATTGCACAGATGGCTGCAGCATTAAAATATCTGCACAAAAAGCACGTCATGCACCGTGATATCAAACCTGAAAACATCCTTGTTGGCATTCATGGAGAGATCAAAATCAGTGACTTCGGTTGGAGTGTCCATGCCCCCAACAACCGACGCCAAACGATGTGTGGAACTCTCGACTACTTGCCCCCAGAGATGCTTGCTCATGGTTCCAAGGACAACTTCTACAGTGAGAAGGTGGACTTGTGGAGTCTAGGTGTCTTGACTTATGAGTTTTTGGTCGGCGAGGCTCCGTTCGAGGATACCCCTGTCATGACCCAACGGCGTATTACGAGGGCAGATATGTCGGTCCCCTCCTTTGTGAGCCCAGAGGCGAAGGACCTTATCAAGAAGGTGAGTCGATCTTTCTATCAGTATACTAGGCCCACTTGCTCACATAATATCTAGCTTCTTGTTCTTGATCCCGCGAAGAGAATCCCGCTCGAGGAGATCCAGCGTCATCCTTGGATTGTCAAGCACTGTGAGAAAGACGATCGAACAGTGAAGCGAAGTTCGGGTTCTTCCAAGGAGGGCAAAGCATGAAATATAACTTGCCCCTTGCATTACAGAGTTTCTGGGAGTTCTGGGTCTCTTTTCTTTTGACAACTTTCTCATGTGGGGTTTTGGGGGTTTGAGCCTGCAAGCATTTTCAAGGCGTGTTCGGTTTTGTCTTGGAGTCCAGCTGGAGAGGTACTGGCGATATGGCGATATGGCGATATTTTGATCTTAATTTTATTTCGCCTCTGACGTGTTCAATACAACATGATACATTCCAACAACTCGAAAGAAGGTACTGCTACCTATGATGTCTAGCATTTTTCATTAAACCATGTCATGTCGTAAGGCGAAAAATAGTATGCGACTCAATCTGTAGTTTGTGTTCCCCGACTTGATTGAGAACCACTATTATAGATTATAGGTACATGTATAGTTTAATCTCACCTAATCTCTAATACCCAACAGATCATACATAGCCGTGCCTGATTTTACTCGCAAAAAGCGTTAGTGTCGCTAGTGAAACCCATGAAATATAGTACATCCAAACAATATCTATCATACAAAAGGGTGGAGAATAGTACAACGCTGCATGAGTTGTGGTATCATCGGTAGATCTCATCAAATGGGCGTGTGTCCCTGAAACAGCTGTCCCAGACTTCATTGACAACCCTTGTGGCATGGGCTTCGTCTTTACAAGTTGGGCGTGCTCGCACAGAGAGGATGGCTCTCCGTCGGACGCACTCTTGGTGCTGTTGTGTAAGCTTCCACTGCCCTCTTCGGAAGAATTCGCGCGCCCATCTGCACTCGCCGCTGAGCGAACTAGCTCGAATCTAGATGGATTCAGCAGATGTTGACATTTTGAGACAATAAGAATAAAACATACCTCGGTACACGCTGCATGCCGCAGATTATCAGACCAATTCACCTTGAACCTAAGGTGATCAAAGGCATGAACCATCTCATGGGCCATGGTATCTTCGAGATGTCCCTGGTCCTTCATCTCATTTGCGCATATCAGGATTCCATATTCCGGGTCGAAGCCACCACCCTTCCGATCAGTGCAGCGGCGACAGTAGATGTTATGATTGTGAAGATCGCCCCCTAATTGTTGAATGCTTTCGCTGAGGAATCGAATCGTAGGACCTTAATAAAATTGGCCTTGTCAGTATCCGTCCCAGATAACTTTTAGACGAGGAACTCACTATATTGAAGAAGATAGTCCCGCTGATGCTCACAGCGCTTGCAGTCTGCTTCTTCATTGCGAGTGTCTCGCGCAACACGAAACTGCTCGATTCCTTCGTTGGACATCTTGCCCGTGAGGATGGAATAGATATTGCGGAATTGGGTCCAGGTGTCATCGCCAGGGAGGAAGCCTGTAGTGTCGGGCTTTATATTTGAAGGTGCAGCCGCACCTGGCGACTGGGAGTCTGTCATTTTCGATCGTGAACTTGTCGAGTGTTATCCATCACTGCGCGCGATAAAGCGAGATCCTCCGCAAATGGCGGTGTTAATCAGCAGAATCAGCGCCGGAGTCGGACAAAAAGTGCTTTTCCGCAACTCATCACCGCGGGGCAGTGAACCAGACAGGCCTTTCTGTAATCTTTTCGTCTGTTTCTTATTTATTTATTTGTTGCTAGCAGAGCTACTTGAACTGGAATTTGCGCCATGGCGACCTCATCGGGTCTCACAATTGTGATCAAATTAGGTACGGGGATCTATATCTATTCCCCAATGACTCAAGTACTGATCACTCGATATAATAGGAACGAGTTCAATTGTTGATGAAAAAACCCACGAGCCAATTCTCTCAATCTTGACATTGATTGTAGAAACGGTGACCAAGCTACACAGGGATGGCCATCGGGTCGTCCTTGTATCATCTGGGGCCGTGGGCGTTGGCCTACGAAGGATGAATGTGGACCAAAGACCAACTTATCTGCCGCGCATACAAGTACGTCTTCGAGTTCTACAGAAATAGGAGCACTATGATATATCTACTGGAAAATTTGCTAATAGAATTTATAGGCTCTCGCTGCAGTCGGCCAATGTCGATTGATGAGTCTTTGGGACAATCTATTCTCGCATCTTCGTGTCCCTGTGGCCCAGATTCTTTTGACAAGAAATGATATTGCTGATGTATGTACTCTTATACCTGCCCATGCCTGTTCTATTACTGACACTCAGTGCAGAGAACCCAATACGTGAATGCGCAAAATACATTTGGACAGTTGTTCGATATGGGGGTGATTCCTATTGTCAACGAAAATGATACCCTGGCTGTTTCTGTAAGGAAATTTAGAGGTCTCCCTTCCAGCCACGATCACGCATCTGACCCAATGATTTTCAGGAAATTAAATTTGGCGACAACGATACCCTTTCTGCAATCACCGCGGCAATGATCAAGGCAGACTATCTGTTTTTGATGACCGATGTCGACTGCCTTTACTCCGCAAACCCTCGAACCAACCCAGACGCAAAACCTATTGAGGTGGTGACTGATATCTCCTCTCTCGAGGCCGACGTCTCATCGGCAGGCTCCTCTCTTGGCACTGGAGGTATGAGCACGAAGATTGTGGCTGCAAAGCTTGGAACCAGCGCTGGTGTCACTACGGTTATCACTAAGAGCTCAAAACCAGGCAACGTCCACGATATTGTGAAATATCTACAATACCTCGAGGCTCGGTCCAATGGTGTAGCAGCTGACGACCAAAATGAGGCACCCACTGCTCCTCTTCATACCCGATTTATCCGTTCAGATACCCCGATTCAATCACGGACATTCTGGCTACTCCATGGACTGTACCCCCATGGTACATTATATATCGACCACGGAGCTTACCACGCACTTTTGAATAATGCCAATCTTCTCCCGGCTGGGGTGGTCGGAGTCGAAGGCCATTTTGGACAGCAGGAATCTGTGCGGCTGGTGGTTGTTGATCGGCCATCTCCAGATGCCTTGAATGGTGATTTTATCCACCATAGAGAGGAACCCAAGGAAGTCGGTCGGGCGCTGGTGAACTACGGAAGCATTGAAATCGCACACATCAAGGGCCACCGCAGCACACAGATTGAGACGCTACTTGGCTATGCCGATAGCGACTATGTGGCAATGCGAGAGAACATCTCGTTCCACCCCGAAGACCACAGTCATACAGTGACACCGTCATTAACACCGGCCTTGGAGGAATGGAAGTCCTCTTGAGTCATAATGTTAGATCACCCACGTATATCACGAACAAAAGCGAAAACAATCTCTTGCATTCAACTGCATTAAACGGTCGATATTCCCAGTCAAAACTTGATTGTTCCAAGAAGTTGCTTGAGATATATAGGTCAACAATCAAAACAGAAGAACAAAAAGAGACGTCTAAGTCAAAGGTTATACATCGAAAAGTCTCTTGCACAAAGTATGCTTTTTTCACCACCTTCACATACATCTAAAAAGACATTTGAAAGGCCGCATAAGCGACCAACTATTGTTGTCTAGGTGAATGAGAAAATCACCAAAAGCATGAACTCCAGGGCGTGAATGAAATCACTTGAAATTTGGACGTTTCCACGCCAGACTAAGCGCCATGTAAAGATATCCGAGAAAAGGAGAATGACGGGATGCTCAAAAGCCTATCAATCATTCCATCGGTCCAACCACTTCTGCATTCTCTTGTCTAATGTGGGGGCAGGAGCGGGCGCAGCCTGAAGAAAAAAAAAAAAAAGAAGAAACAAGGGTCAGCTTTCAAAGCCAACTGACATCAAGCATTCAAGAATCAAACTCACCGTGTTCTCGATGGTGTTCGCCGTCCACGTCGCAAAAGCCGTATCCGTGTACAGGACGGTTGGTGCGCCTAGGTAGGTAGTCGCAATGGAGAACGGGAAAGGCGGATATTGAGGAGTAGCCGACCTAGTTGCGACAGTAGTCCCAGCGCTCTTGGGCATGGGGGCATATTTGATTGAGCCAGTCTGCTCACCGTATGGTACAGTATGCTGGTCAACTGCAGCAACTATACCATCTCCAACGCCACCGACAGCAGCCACCTGTCGTTTGCGCAACTCATTGTGCTCGGCTTCGCCTTCGACGGTTGGGGTTGGGAATTGCAAGGCTGCTTCCGTTGAGGAACTCTTGACGAGACTCGAGATGTTGAAAGTTGAAGTAAGTTCTGCGGCCTCGATGAGGTGATCATCGCCTTGGACCGCAGACCAGGGAATAGCGATAGCGGGAATCGGCTGCATTGACTTGATCGCGGCCGTTACTTTGGTCGAGAAGCTACCTTTCATATTGGTCAAAGTGAAATGAGAGGTGAACCCTGACCAGTGATTATGAGGGCCTGATAGAACTATCTTGAGGAAGCTAATTGAGACCCGGCGACATTGGTCAGTCACAAAAGGAATTGATGAAGCTATTATTGCTAGGGGGAATGGCCTTACTATGCATTAGGCTCATTTCCACCGACACTTTGATCGACTCGAAATGACACCACGTCACCAGGAGCATAGGCATGATTGTTGATGACTTGTGATAAAGTGTCCTGAAAATGTAGTGAGCTCTATATTTTCCATTTCAGCAAAGAGAGAAAAACATACATAGGCACCTGTCGTCTCGTCACCGGCACAGAGATAAAAATCATAAGTTGAAGTCGACTCGCCGTCTAAGCCCCAAAGCAGACTCACGGCAGCTGCACCATCGAAACTCAGATCATATGTTGTGATCTTAGAACTGATTTGGCCATAGGCCGCCGTAAATAACAGTGCAACCTGAAGCAATTGGACTCGCATGTTGATATGATTGGAAAAACACAGATTTCAAAAGAACAGAGAATGATCTCCCAGTCAAGAAAGAGGAAAATCATCCCTTCATAGGCTTCATAGGGTTTCCCCCCCCCCCTCTAGGGCTGGTATGTGCATCATTCCTAAGCCCTTAGGAGAGAGCCCTTGAAGCCATAGAACGTGAGATGTGCACTAAGATAAGGGGACATGGTCCGTGTTATCAAAGGCGGCTTCTTCTGTCAAAGTGTCAGCCCACGACTTTTTGACAATTTGGGACACCTTGGGACAACTTGGTCTCTTACAACTATGTCGTCTCAAGCAAACTGGAACTCAGTCACTGGCATTGCCACACTGTTGTTCAGTGGCAACCTTGTTGCTATTGCTATTGCTATCCTCTTCACCTTTGGTGTCCCCATCGCACTACACATCTTCTTCTTCCAGGCTGTAGCGTCTCCGCCCTCGAGTAATTTCTTACTCCTAGGCCCCAGTGGAGCTGGTAAAACTGCTTTTACAACATTGGTAGGCTCCACGACCTGCTCCGGAGTGGTTGAACCCTTGCTAATCAATGGTATAGCTCGAGGCCAAGTCCTCACTCGCTTCGAACAAGTCGCACAGCACCCACACCTCTCAACAATCAACTCTAGTGACCGTGACCTTACCACCGACTGTCCCAACCGGTTCCAATCGCTACCGATCGGTGAATGATCCCTCCTTAAATGAGGCCGTCCGGAATCCAATCAAGTACCGCGTAAGGGATACCCCTGGTCATGGCAAGCTCCGCGCCTCGCAAGGGATCGCCGAGCTCCAGGCCATGTCCCAGTCAAAGGACATCAAGACAAGGCTACGTGGTGTGGTGTTTATGGTTGATACCGCTGCTCTAGTTGACGAAGCGACGCTCCGTGATACCGCAACCTACCTACACGATGTCCTTCTCTTTCTCCAGAAGCGCGCAAAAAACGGGTCATCGAGCAAGCGGACTACTGATGTCCCTGTCTTGGTCGCCGCGAACAAGCAGGATTTATTCACTGCGCTGCCACCGGGAGCGGTGAGAGAGAAGCTGGAAGCGGAGATTGATCGCATCCGCAAGTCGAAGACCAAGGGTCTTCTGGATGCAAGTGCAGATACTGGGCTGGAGGACGAAGAGGAGGAGATCTTGGGTAATGATGAACAAGAAGCTTTCAGCTTCAAGCTCCTAGAGCACGAGGTCGGCGTCAAGGTCGATGTGGTTGGTGGTGCTGTCAAGGGCGACTTGCAGGAAGAGTTCGGATCTGGAGTGCGCCGCTGGGAGGAGTGGGTTGGGATGTGCTTGTGAGCGATACGACTTTTTCTTCTCTTGTCTTGATGGTTCAAAATAGTAAATAGGTGGTTCTGTTATACTTTGCTTGTATATGTTATGCCAAAAGAAAAGTTGCACCGAGAAGGTCCTTGAGAGACTACAATGTGGTTTTCTATTGATATTGCCAATCCAATCCCAGTGTCTCCGTAGCTTGGGCATCAACCCAATCCTGTATGGTCATTAATGAGAGAAACAAAATGATAAAAAAAAACACCCACACAATACTCACCCACAGATCTCGAGCCAGCTTCATATCTCTAGATATCACGCTGGGCTCACACAGCGTCGCGACAGGTATAAAGTACTGACCACGATGGTTCTGCTCTCGCACTTCTCGACTAGTAGCAAGATATAGAGCCGTGGCAGCACCATCCTCCAGACTCTGACCCAACCAGGATCCTGCCGTTCTTATAAGCCAACCTAGCAATTTCCCAAAATAAGAATCCCACTCGAGCCATTGATCAGTAACAATGTTGCCCGGAAAGAACGAGTTGACATATATCTGCTTGCTCGCTGGATCTTGATCATCCAGAAGCCGCCGACTGAGCTCTTTCACGAAAAGGATGTTACCCAGCTTTGACCGGCCATACCGCCATATTCCATCGTACAAGGCAGGCCACTTGACGCGTGACGATGAGAACAGAAGATCCAGATCGAGCTGTTGGCACCAATAATGGAACGATGAGCTAGTTACGATAATTCGTACATCGCTGCTAGGTGTCACGCCGTTCCTCAATAGAGGTAGGAGTGATGTGGCTAAGATTTGGTGTCCGACACAGTTTGTCGCGAATACACGCTCGATATTCTGAGCTGAGCGCTTGCATTCATTTTGAACACCAATGGCTTCATTTTAGGGAGGTAGGTCAATGTGCGATGATCAGAAGAGATGGGGGGGGAGAGAGAGATTTACCTGCATTGCAAACCAATATATGAATCCGGTCTGTGACTTGTTTTATCTTCTCAACTGCGGCCTTGACATCCTGAATATCCCCCAGATCGCATTTGACAAACTCGGTTGGGATATCATTCTCCAGTGAGATGCCCTTGCGGTGTCTCCATTCCTCCTGAGCAGTGATGTATTTGTCCTCACTTCTGGCAATGATGATCACTTTCTCTATATCGTGTAAGAGAAGCTGGGTAGTGATCTCTGGATTTCATTGTTATACTCTGCAGAACATCCAATTGGCTTGAAATCAGGAGCTCTGCTTGCCTTTGCCAATGCCTGCTTGGCCACCCTGGGACAATTAGTTGCTAGCCCGAGATACAACGAGAGGGAACTTACTGTCACTACAGCCACCTGGTCATTTAACGCCGGTGTGTTTCCCAGGGAGAAGTTCCGATAGGTAAAGATTCCTGTCATCGTAGAGTTCTAGGTTGGAGTGGGCAAAGTCGAGAGGATTCCCAGGCGAAGTTGGATATATATCTGACCTGAATCGACGTCATCGCCACTTGGAACCGAACAGATTTAAAAAAAAGGAAAAGGAAAAACCATGAATATATTCTCTATGGTGTGCATTAAGTATTTTATCATATTCAACGCCTTTGCGCTGTACGATCTAGGTATTGCAATCCCACAATGTGTTGAATCCCATCGGGGAAGGCCTTCATGCCAACGCAAAAGAAACGCCTATCCCAAAATATCAAAGAATGTTCAGGAATGTTGAACCCCTACCCAACAAGCAATGTCTCATGCGAATGCGTTTCAGGAAACAAAAGAAAACATTTTTTTTTAGGCCTTGTTCGTCTTGGACTGGTGCAGCATCCAAGTGAGCAGGTCGACCTTGGTAACGATGGCCAATGGCTTCATCGCACCACTTTCGTCCTTCTCGGTCACAACCGCAGCACTGTTCCACTCGAAGAAGCGGTTCAAGACACTAAGGGGTGTATCCATGGTGATCTCGATGAAGCCGCGACTCCGGGTCTGGGGCTTGAGGGAGTCTATGCCCTTGGACAGATTACGGGGGTCGGTGACCACCTCTGAGATCTTTGAGAAGTCAAACATGACGTCGGAGACGGGGCTCTGACCCGAGGCCCGGCCGTGCGTCAGTCGGCTGAGAACGTTGCCGAGCGTAACGAGACCGACAAGCTTGCGTCCAGATGGGGCAAGGACGGGAAGCTGGTCAAAGCCTCGGTCGCGCATGACCTCGATGGCAGTCTCGCAAGGGGAGTTGGCTGTCACGGTGGTGATGGGCTTCAAACGCAAGGCGCTGACCTTGGCATTGGCCAGAGGATTAGACTCGGGCTCCTGTGTTTGAGTTGTCGATGCAACGGCGGGAAGCGATGGGAGCAGATCGTTGGCTGCGAGCCAGTCGTCATCGGCGAACTTGAATCGGTTAGCTGGATAGGAAAATAAATCGGAGGAGGATTTGATCCTACCTTGGAGAGGTAACTTCTAATACTGTCAGGAAGAATTACAACGACGACATCGTCCTTGGAGAACTTTTTGGCCTCATTGGCCTTGACCAGAGCCGCAATGGCACTACCACTGCTACCGCCGACCAGCAGACCCTCCTCGGCAATCAGACGCCGGGAGTACTTGAAAGACTCCTTATCTTCGGTCTTGATCCATTGGGTCACGGCATCTCGGTCCAAAACCTCGGGGATGAAATCATACCCAATACCCTCCACCTTGTATGGCTCATTCGCACGAGCTTCATTAAGGGAGGGAGGCAGAGCGAGAATGGAACCAAAGGGATCAGCGGCGATCACATTGATATCAGGGTTGTGCTTGCGCAGGCCACGGGCAAGACCGGTGATGGTACCACCAGTTCCAGCGCCAGCGACAATAGCACTGATCTTGCCATTGGTCTGGGTCCAGATCTCCTCGGCAGTGCCAAGCTCGTGTGCCAAGGGGTTGTTCGGGTTCTCGTACTGATCCAGGATGTGGGCATTGGGCAGTTCCTTCTCGAGACGTCTGGCCACGCCGATGTGCGATTCCGGCGAGTCAAAGGCGGCTTCGTTGGGGGTTCGGATGATAGTCGCATTCAAGGCACGCAGGACGGCGACTTTCTCAGCAGACATCTTCTCTGGGAGGGTAATGATGGTCTTGTAGCCTGAGTAGAGAAGAATAGACAAAATTAGGACAGATCGGACAAGCAAAGCTTCGACAATAGAAACGTACCCTTGACGGCACCAACCAGTGCCAGACCAATACCACTGAAGGAATCTCAATTAGCATCCGCGCCCATGACGAAGCCAAAGAGAAGATGAAAAACCGTACGTGTTGCCACTGGTGGGCTCAATGAGAGTGTCACCAGGCTTGATGCGACCAGATCGCTCAGCCTCTTCAATCATGCGCAGAGCAATACGATCCTTGACACTGCCACCGGCATTGAAGTACTCCAACTTGGCGTAGACGGTAGCATCGATTCCCAGGGTGCGGGGCAGGTGGTTCAATCGCACAAGGGGTGTGTTGCCGATCTGCTGGGTGATCGTGTCCAAAGTGACCGGCGGGATGCCAGGGGTAGTGGTAGAAGCCATGATGTGTGCGTTGTGAGGGAGAGATGTAAAAGAAGGAACCTTGGAAGGTTCACAATTTGAAGAAGATTTCGCCATCGACTTTTGCGCCCCGCCCGATGATAACCGGGTGTCTGTGGGCCCATGTCGTAGTACGTTGTACGTTGTACGGATATCTACATACAACATATGTAACCACTTGATTTAGTTTGTATTTCAGGATATATGATAGTTTAGATGATAGTACATGGTATATATATAAGTGTTAGAATGAGCTAATACCTATTTTTATTTAGCTATAGCTCATATCATGTCTATACATCGTGCGTAGATGGGCCTATTTTATATGAAAAGTCCAATAGAAATATCCAATAGTGTCCAATCATATCCAATAAAAGTCTCAAGATCAAATCAGAAAGAGTGCACTTCTAGTTCAGGATGTATGTCACATGTTATACACGAAAAGACTATATTTTGTGGCTAACACCAAATACAAAAAAAAAAAGATATACGAAGTATTAAAAGACATATGTTGTAGAAAGACTATAGGAAAAAAAAAAAAAACAGGAAACACAAGAAACACAAGAAACACAAAAAAGACCAGAAATAAGACAGGCCGACTATTCTTGCACGGAATAAACATATTGTACGGAGTAGTATGTTGTACAAGCATACTGCCGAGGTCTCCAACTTTCCTCAACCCTGCCAAGTCAACATCCACCAGTCTTGCTAAGTTTTACTAAATCTACAAACTTCTAAACTCCTGCTAACACTGGCTAACCTTAAGTACTAGGGCGATCTCTACCCACTAAATATTGAGTGATTGGCTATTAACCCCCTCGTCATGTTGACCAAGATCAAGCTCTACGAGCTCTTCCGGTCCGATTATTGCCCAGTTCCATATACTCTGTACTCCGTACCGAAAATGCGCTTAAAAACGACAGTTCTACAAAGCCAAGGCCGTGGCTGTGCAGGAAATAGCCATTCCCCACACTCGATTGGTGTTTCATCCCCTGAGAGACCAAGGCTGAATGCGAATATTACACAGAACGCCAATCATCTCTGGACAAGAGAGCAAGTTGATTCCGCAAGCCGAGTTTGGTAGTGCCACACGTCGTTAACTGATGATTTTTCATTTGCTTTCTCTTCTTCTCGAGCCAAATCGGACACGGGATACGGCGATCTTCACGGGAAAAGCATCATGGAGCAACTGGCTGCGCCAAGACCTCCTGGCTGTCCATATTGAAACATTCGAGGGCTGATTGGCTCTATCAAGTGCCAGCACATCCCACTGTTTTTATTTTGCCTCCTTTATATTGTATTGCGGCCCAGACGCTGTATAGTCTTTACAGTCCCCTAGCTCTTGTTTTTTTTTTTGCTTTTTTTGCTTTTTTTTCCCCCCTTGTCTATTCCTGCGTGTTTTGTCTTAGCATTTATCGAGATCGATACATTTTTAATTTGATTTTATCTCACCGTCTGGTACCTTGCGTGTACTTGGCCCGATCCCCCCGATCTATACG